TGACTCTTGGTCGCTTAATTGCACCCAGCAGAGTGGATGGTTCGAGTTCTGGTTCTGGGGTTTCTCTTCCATTTTTTTTTTCATTTTGTATTTTATTCTGCAAGTACGTCTGCTGCCTCATAAATCTCACGCGCCTCCGATGGCATTGGGTGTCCGGTTCTAAGCGCTGGACATAATAGATAACACTGCCGGCCGTAATTAGCCCCAGCCCGTTCAAAATAGGGTCTACGGCTACACAGATCTCGGGTTCTGGGGCGGTGGTTTTCTTCGCTTTCGCCCAGTTCAGCCCAGCTGGCCCTGCGATGATCGTGTGACTGGCCAACGGGAATAAAAAGCTAATGCTAATGTCTTGACCACCACCACTGACCGAGATCATAATTCACAATTCACAATTCACAATTCAGTCGTCGCGAGGGAAACCTAAGACAAATCGCATGTGTAAATGGCTGCTGAAGTGGGTCGCGGGCATAAATCAAATCCGGTGGGTCACTCACAGCCATGCCTCGCTAGGTTGTTGCATGCAACACGCCAGTTGTACATGTACCATAAGTCGCGATTTGTTTCGTATGTTCCCAGTTGACTGACCCACTTGCGGATTCCTATTTGCCTTGGGTGTGTCCGCGATCTCGGGCCGTTACTTTTCACACCCAAACTGGTTGGAAATGCGAAAACTAGCGACAATTGTCGCTACCATAAAAACGGGGAAGCGGGGTTACACGGTGAAAAAATAGTTTAAAAAAAATATATAATTTTTTAATCGCTTATCCGATTTATTCTAGCTTTCAAAAACAAAAATTAAATTTAATGTTGATAGAAAGAAGACTTTTTTCTTGAAAACCTACCTAATTTTGTGATTATAGTCACCAATTTGGTAATAAATTAATTTTAATCTTTTAAGTCCAGGGAAATTAGCTATAATGTCAAACTAACTAAGTACCTTAAGAAAACGATTTGTGAAGACATCGTTAAAACACCAAAATTCAATTTATTTGATATTTTTAGGATTAAAATTGTATACCCCTATTATTTAAATAATAAAAACAAAATTAAGAAAACTTTATTTTCTCGGTGCAGTCACTTGGAAAATGCACAAACAATAGCGGCCAACAGAGAACCGCCAGCATAATAATTGATCGCTGCGGCGGACAACTTTCCAACTGGTTTTATTTCAAACCCAAAGCACTATCAAAGATTTTTCCTTAATTTCCCACCAGTTTTATCCAGTTTTTATTGCCCTCGTTGCCTCGTTGCTGCATTGTCTAAGATTTCCTCTCTTTTCGTTTTGAATTTTTTATTATTATTTGCCACTCGCCGCGAACAAAAGAGTTTTCTTTTGTAAGCCGAAAGTTTTCCATTTTCCTATACCAACCCCCCCCCCATTCCTCGACAGTTTTTGGATGAATTATGAGCCAGGGAGTGGTGACCTCTTGTTCTCCTCACGGGTGGTTACTGGTTCCTCTGTGGCTTCATTTCATATGCACGCCAAGGAGTCGGAGTCGGGGGAAAATGTGAATGGACTCTATTAATGTAATGCGATCTGCGGCGCATGGAAAATCAAATGAAATGAGCTGGTCAGTGTGAGAGGCAGCCGTTTTGCTCCGCCTGTCTTACCGCCTGATGTTGATGTATCTCCGTATCTTGTATCTTTGCCCCTCTTTTTGTGTGTATCTTTGTATCTGGCGGTGCACTAAGCTGACAGCATCTGGTCAAACTGTTGGCCCGGCAAACTATTTCTGGCATATTGCAGTTCGCGTTTAATTTGGCTGATTACATGCAATGGCAATGGTCCAGGTCCACTGCAGTGTTTGTCAGCTGCCCAAATATTTCGCCCTCGACTGTCAAACATCCCGCATTGCATCATCACCCACTAACTGCACTGCAAAGAAATTTTGGGTATTTTAATTAAATATACTCCAATTGAATATATTAAGTAAAACTATTTTTTTAAGCTATTATACAAATGGGATAACAGCATCTTAAAAATATTGATACCATAAAGGAATCCTAAATATCAACCACCTAATTTGTCAGCCTGTAAAGGTTATATCTTATATTAATATTGATATTTAGTTGGCTTAACTATGCTTTTAAAACAATTTAAAATATGCACAATTTGTAAGTTAATTTGAAAAATATTAAAAATATATCATAAATAAAACTTTAGTCTGCCAAAACTCTCTTTGTGCACTGAATATTTTACAAATCCTTTCACAGAAATAGTTACTTCAAAAGACTGATATTTTTGGGCTTTTCAAAATTTTTTTTTCTCTTGTATAATTTGAAGTAGTTGTATTTTCTTTGTGTGTCATCAGACTTAGACTCCCTCGTTTGCTCGCTCGTGTCTTGGCCCTTTGTCAGTCAGCGGCATTTTGTTTATTTTTATCTGGTGCTATTTCAGTTCGGTTTTCCTCTTGCATTTCCATTAATTTTTGTGCGCGGCTGCGCGTTTTATTTGGTTTGGCTTGGTTTGGTTTGCATTTGCAAGTCAGGCGACTACGGTGAAACGTAAATAAATATTTACCACACCCGTACCCGTATCCCTATCCGTACATTTCATCTCAGCGATTTCAGCGATCACGGCTGGCTTCCTGTCCAAATAATTGCGCATCCAGTCAACGCCAACAGATGGAAAAGGAAATGCACACAAATGCGATAAAATTCAGAAATAAAATACTGCAAGAGGTGCTGGGATAGAGCGTTTCGTCTAGATAAATGGCTTTTATTTAAAAAATTAAATGATAGATGATAGATTTCTTAAAATTTTTAAATATTTGAAAATAGTTACTACAATTAGTTTCTTTACATTATTTGATCTATTAGGCTCTTAATAATTTTGTGCAAAATATAATAATGACATCACTTCACTTGAGCAACTTTTTATTGCATTCGCAATTCAGTGCAATATGAAATTTGATTGCACATCAATAGGAAATTATTTATAGGCATGTTTATTTACATAGATATTTGGGTTTTATATACATTTCCATTATGAGCTTAGGGTTCATTGGGAAAAATTGTGATTAATTAAGTCTTACAGAGACCAGACCAGCGTCGTTTATTATAGTTAAAAATTCAGAAACTCTGTAGCCCCCACCCGTTATAATATCTTGTTACATCGCTACAAATTGCCTTAAGTATATATAGCCACACATCGATGTGGATTATTAATAGACATTCCAAGATTTTTCAATTAACAAAGCCATTATGCAATCCATCGAGTTGTATGCGAGTTCGATGTTTGCCCTAGTTACTGGACATATGGACATATGGCCATATGAATATGAATATTTCTGAATATTAATTTGTGTGAAGACTATTGTGCACTGAAAATAGAAATATTGTAAAAGGGAAGTCAATGTGATCGCAAGCAAAATATAATTAAAGTAAAAAAATACCTTGAATACATTGACTACCTTTATAATTTATAATGATGCAGAGCAGAATGTTTAAAATCAACATATACGATCTTAATTTATATATACGATTGTTGTTTTGAAAATACCATATTAATATGAATTATTATTTTATTTATAAAATCGTATTATTTCTTCTGATCAATAAACACAAATGATGTATTTTTTCTTTTTCCATAAAATAAAATTAATAGTCGTAATTTTAAGCAAATATCTAACTATATCTGATTTTAATTTTCCTGCATTATTGTATTATTTCTTGTGATATAAGAACTGCAAATATGTGATATTAATATCATTAAAGTAATGTTAAATTTCTTTGGCAGTCAAATGATAATAGTCATCTCAAGCTAGTGAAAATGAACATCTGAATCAAATCGGTTTGATCTTTGATCTTTTGTTTTCCGTGTATGCCCACTTGATGGTCGGTGGAACGTGTGCGGCTGTGGACAAACATATCATCCCATATATCCCGGACTACTGGGCGTAATGGTATCGGTGTCGAGTGCCTCCGGGTTTCTGAGTTTCGGGTCTGGATTTTTGGGACGGTACCGCGCTAATCGACCGATTCTCCTACCGTTAAGTGGTGCTAAATGCCATCGCCACGCAGATGGAGTCCAAAAACAAATCGGAGGCTTATTAATGAGCTCGGTGGTTTCCATTTCTGTTTGTGGCGCTCTCCGTTCGCATAATTAATCAGCACAGAAAATGCCGTCTCTGACGAAATCCGCTGAATCTGCATTTTGAATGATTCACATTTGGGGATGGGTAAAATTTACCGCAGATGAGAAATTTAATCAGCGGGTTCGATTTCCGCTGGCATCATAAACACAAATGACTTTAAGTGTCCGCTCGCTCACCAACAATATAGATTTGTTCGCATATATTAGCAGCTGATCTGATGACGTTTTCCCAATCATGCGGGCCCCTCGATGAAAACCCTCTTGTCATGGTTTTTCGTCATATTGCGAGTGGTTTTTTTTTTAACCCCCAAATTCGATGTGCTTATTGATTGATCTATGGGGGCGGTCGGTCCATTAAACATTAATTGAGGGAAAGTTGTGACAAATGCAGTTTATATTAGTTTTAAGCCTGCCAACAGATGGCCCTAAATGGAATAGAAGTGTAGTTCGTTAGTATATTTTTGTTTAAATAATGTTTAACAGAAATTCATAGCAGAAATGCATAATGATTTAAATTAAAGTCAAAATAATAGCCCTAAGTGGGCATAAAAACTCTTCAATTTAAATTTTTACATGTATCTTATATTTTAAAGTAGCTTAGTCGAGGCTAAATACATTTTTATTTTAAAGCCAATCAAAAAGCCCAAATAGTGTCAGTGTAAAGGTGTGAAAATATTATAAATTTATTTGTAACAAAATATACATATTCCCCTTCTAAACAAACTTAACTTTTTAAAATGTTTCTTGCTTCTTAGTTTGCTCATGAAATTTCATCCATCCACGAAATTCAAATAGTTAACATAGATGAGCTAACATTGCGCCTAACAGCACTTTATATTTAACATTTAGCTGCTGCCAACTAACAGCACATTTTCGTAAGCTAAAATAACGTAACAGCGCAATGCTTACGTTAAACGTAATCAGCTGGTTGTCATTGTTGTTAAGCATTAATTTCTTTGGATAAATAATTGTTTTCTTAATAAATATCTTGAAATTAAACAAAAATGCGGCGTCGTGTGGGCCTGGGAGCCATCCAGCAGCAGAAACTAGCTGCGGAGAAGTACAAGGACAAAGGAACCGACCTGCAGGAAAATCAACTGGAGCAAATGACCAAACAAATGGATGTTTTTCGGGTGAAACTGGAGGAATTTGCGATGAAACACAAGGAGGACATCCGCAAGAACTCCCAGTTTCGCAAACAGTTCCAGGAGATGTGCGCCGCCATCGGAGTGGATCCCCTGGCCACCGGCAAAGGATTCTGGAGTGTCCTCGGCATGGGCGACTTCTACTACGAACTGGGTGTCCAGGTGGTGGAGGTTTGCCTGGCTGCCAATCACAAGACCGGTGGCCTCATGGAACTGGACGAGCTGCGGCGACGACTCATCGCCGCCAGGGGTCAGAGTTCAGTGCACCAGGAGATCACCAAGGAGGACATCCTTATGGCAGCCAAGAAACTGAGCATCTTTGGCAATGGGTAAAGGTTTTTTCCTATATAACTCATAATATTTTAAAAATACAGTAGACCACATGATTAGTTAAGGATCAAATTGGGTTTACAGTTAATGGCTACAAAACTGTTTATTTACCACTAAATATAATAATAATGATAACAATAATAATTTAAAAATTAATTACATGTTTTTAAAATTTTGTTGATCTTTTTTGATCCTATAAAAATGAAAAATTTGGGTTATGGTCGAGAGTAAATATTATAATTATTAAAATATAATATATATATATTATTATGTACCTTTAACAATGGTGAAGATCAGACTGCATACTACCCATATGAAGCTCAAAGATTTTTATATCCTATGAAAAATATTCATTTTTTTCGAAGTTACTCATATTTTATTACAATTAAACCATATCCCGCAAAACATAAATAGGCTTTTGCCAGTTTTTGTAAATTACTTTTAGAAACTAAAGTATTTGTTGTTCTATGTTATAAGTTAAGATTTTTAATTTTATTTAATAGCTCTTAAACAAAACATGTGGGTATAATACAAAATGTAAACCTGAATTATTTACACTTCATTTATTAACAAAACACTCTTTTCAAAAATGTACTTTCAGCTTTGTGGTGCACAAACTGGGCAAGGGAAAGTACATAGTTCAGTCCATTCCCGGAGAGCTGAGCATGGAGGAGACCAACATTCTGAACGCAGCCTCCAATACCGAACAAGGCTGTGTAACGAAAGGCCAGCTGATACAGGACTTGGGGTATTTGCTCTCTTTATACTTCATTTCATTCAATGTTTAATAGATTTCCCCACTTTTCCCCAGTTGGAGCGACTATCGAGCCCAACACTCACTGGACAAGGTGCTCGGCGAGGGCCTCTGTTGGATTGACAAACAGGCGGAGGAGGAGCCATCCTACTGGTTCCCCAGCTTGTTTCCCGGCCGCAATGCCCAGACTGCCGTCGCCTCTTAGTGTTCTCGTTCAACTAATTTAATCTGTACAATGGTAATCATAAAATATATATCTTTGTACAACTGTAAAATCAGCGTCTAGGCCTGCAGTGGCTGCCTCAAGCTGTCTCCGGCGGCGCCGCTTTTGAGCATCTCGTTGTCCGCCAGCAGCTCGGAGTTCTCCTTTCTCAGCTGGTAGATAACCGACTCGAAGCGCTGCGTGATGTCGTCCATGGTCGTGCGGTAGTTGGACTTCATGGTCTTGTGCTTCGACAGGAAGCGTTCCATTTGAGTCTCGTAGTGCTTTTTCCTACAAATATTAAATTACAAAAAAAAAAAACACTTAGTGCTTGAAGATTTATTACAATTTGTAAGAAGTGATCACATTAGTTTCATTTATGAAAGTATAAAGTTTCTTTATATCGTACAAAGATAATTGATCAACTAATTTTTTTTAGTGTCTTAAAATACAGCCACCAAGAAGGATGGATACGTATTTTGTATACCTACAATTTGGAATCTCGATCATCTTCTTCTTGCAAATCGTTGAGCGATTGCTCCAACGCGCTGAGTCGTCTATAGGTGACTTCCACCTCGGCTTCCAGCTTGTCGTTCTGCTTCAAAAGTTCCTTGCATTTTTGCTCTAGACGATTGTTTTGCGTCTCCAGCAGGTGAACCACCGATTTGTGTTCCGCTGAGTCCTTTTTAAGCTTAAAACAAAGATTTAAATTAAGATAATAAGAATTATTAGTTTTCCTTACCTTTTCCTTCATGGATGTAATAAGCGCGTCCTTCTGCTTGAGTTTATTTTTCAGCTGGCCCACTTCGGTGTCCACACGCGTTGAAGCCTCCTCCATGATGCGACCTATATTGCTGGCCAGCTGGGTGACCTCCTCCTTGTAGGCCTCGGCCAGATTCATGGCCTCCGCCTTCTCCCTGGTGGCCTCTTCGCTGAGCGTGATGGCCTCCTCCACCTTTCGCATAGCGGTGGTCTCCCGCCTCGTGCTCTCCACCAGCAGATTGTGGGTGTGGCTGAGGGACAGCTCGTACTCCTTCAGCTGCTTCTGCAGAGTGGCCACCCGGACCTGATCCTGGTCCTGAACCTTCAGCTGCGACTGCAGCTGCTGCAGTTGCTCCCCGCCCCGCTGCTTGTGCTCGTGGAGCGCCTTTATGGTCTCCGCCTGCATCCGCAGCTCGTCCTGCTGGGCAGCCACCTTCGCCTCCAGCATTTTTACGGCCTTCGCGTACCGCTGGATGATCTAAAAGTGAGTTCCAAAAACGTTAAAGAAGATTTTGGATTTTATTCGTTGGCTTGTGGTCCTTAAAATAAACGTCAAATACAATCAAGTCATGGCTTACTATGTGCTATGAAATAAAACTATAAAAACAATTTTCAGGACCTTTAAAATTGATCTATTTTAGCAATATTTAGAAAATATTTTAAATTAATTATTGGCATGAATATTGAACAAATTATAGTTGATCAACCAATGGGTTTTCAGGAATGAGTTTTTTCCTATCCAATAAATACCTGGTCATCAAATAAATGTCAATTACAATCAATTCAAAGCTTTCTATGAAATATACTCAAATTAGGATCTCTAAAATATATTTATTTTAGCATCCATATAGATTCTCTAATATGTACAAATATAGGGCAAATAATTAAAAATCATTGGGATAAATATCGAATAATTGCTTTCAAATAAATATCGCTTTCAAATATATATCTAGAAATCGTGGCTTACTGTTAAATATAATTATACAAATTATGTATTATTAATTAAAAGTTTTGCTTCAGATCTTTTAAATCTAGAAAAATATGAATATTTTAAATTCATTATTTGAAAAAAATATCGAATAACTCTGAGGTGATTTAACATTTTAAATAAAATTTTTCCTTTTAAGTAAATACCTGATCATCACCGGACTGTTGCATCTGGACGCGATAGTTCCTGAGCTCCAGTTCCATGTTCTCGATGGTCCTTTTCGAATAGTCCTGCATGGACTGCAAGCTCTTTCGCTCCTTGAGCAGTGAATCCACCTGTTTCTTGGCCGTCTCCAGGGCATTGTTGGTCAGTAGAAGGCGTTCCTTGAGCTCCTCGTAGTCCCCACTGACCAGGGTATTCCGGCATTTGGCCAACTCTCTGTTTAGCCGGCGATTTTCTTCCACTACATCGTTGACATGGTGCCGCAGATTGGCCTGCTCCTGCCGGAAGTTTCGTAGATCCTGGTTGGTGTCCCGCACCAGACGCTCCACTCCTTGGGCCACTTCACGCACACTGCTGCAAGGCGGGTTAATATGGTAATGGGTTAATGCTGGCTTTACAATTGCACGCAAAGGTATTTTAATTTGCCTACCTTGGAAAAGCATGCTTGTTTTCCGGTTGTGTCATGTTTGTTTTGTCTGTAATCACATTTTACTCCGAATTTTAAGGAGGTTAGGTTAACACTTCTAAAAATGTCTTTTATTATATTTTATTTTATGGTATTGATTAAATATTTTTGTAATTTATAAAAGTTCTGATTCATTGTAATTTTGTTTTAATGACATTAGATTAGGAAATAACTTGATTTAGTTGAGTTTGTGAATATTTGAAGAAATACATTTTAATTTCTTTATATTCCTTGTGTTTTTCCCAAATTAATAATTCATTTTTGTGTTTTTTTTTGCTTATATTGAAATCTATATAAAAGTTACAGGTCTATTAAATACAAGTGGGTTATTTAAAAGCACATGAAAAGTAATTTTAAGTGACACTTGACAATACATATTTGGGATTGAGTTCAAGCAAGCTTTGAAGCTACATGGTTGTAATTAAATATTCCCTGATTTTAAGTTGCACTTTTCGAAGATCTTTAAAATATTTGTTAGTTAATTTTGTATTTTTCTCGCGTGGTGAGGACAATTTTTTGTATCACCGGTTCTATGCCACTGGCAGACTTTTGCTGTGCGTTGTCAATCTGTGACAACCTGCCACCCTTTAAGCAGGTAGTAAGTGTAATAAAAAACCCGGAGGCACGAGTCCTGCCACGGCCGCTGACCCCCGACAAGTGTCCGTTGTCCTGGGCAACGGGGCGGCCAAAACAAATAGTGAAGTAATCGAAAAATGGTCAACTAATCATTTCAGTCGCTCGCCATGCCGCTATTCAACAAGAAGTTCGAATCGAAGCCGATCCCCGTGCGTCAGGGTCGGTGCAATATTGGACATCCTGTGGCCACCGAGGATCTGGACGATTTCCGACAGATTTCCCTGACGCTGGGCAACAAGGAGCTGCGCTTTGCCGACGGCATCTGGATGCATTCGTCGCGAAAGGGAGACGTGGATGATATGCTGAGGTTAAACAAGAAATTCCGGGCCCTCGAAGAGGAGAACAATATGTGCAACCTAAAGATCGAGGTTATGCTGGATCTGCTGGCCGAGCATGCCACTGAACTCAATGAACTGAAGCCAAAGGAAAAGTGAGACGAAGCTCTTTGAGCAATATTATATCTGGGATAAATATAAATAAATATAATTATAATAATAAATTATTTATAAGTGGTATATTCTTGAAAACATTGAATTTGAAATTCCTGTGAAATAATATACATGAATTCGGATCAGAAAATAGAAATCGCTTGCATTTAATTCAAGTTTTTCAACTTTGTAAATTTTATTTAGTTATTTTGCTTAAATTCATAAAATAAAATTATAAACAGTTATTAAAAACAACTATTTATTAAGAGCAAGCAATATATATAAACAGGTGGTTTATATTTGAAAATATCGTCTAAAAAAAATTGTATATTATATTAAAATTTGTTCTTTAAAATATATATATGTATTATTGTACTTCAACTTAATAATTTTTATTTAATTGTTTGGCTCAAATTCATAAAATACAATTTAAAACATCATAATTTAAGCTAAAATAACTATTCCACTTCTATTGTTTAATGACATTTTCCAGTAGCTTCAAGTGCAACATCACTACTTTGAAAAAATAAAACTTCTTAAAAACGTATCAAGGCTGATGAGTGCCAGAAACAACGGCGGAGTCCTCCTCCTGTTTCAATTGATTATCCGCCAAAAGCTCAGAATGCACTTTTCTGAGTCGAGAAAACTCTGCGTCGAATTTAAACATAAGATTATCCATGTCCCTCTTAAAGTTGTCCAGTATTCTTTGCTGCACCACTTGATATGCTTCGATTTCATTTTTGTGGCGCTTTTTTCTGTTTACACCGAAATTGGTATTAAATAATATTATAGGTACAAATTATTTTCGATCTCACAGTTCAGCCTGGCGTTCCTCGATATCGGAAGTTGGCTCATTGACTGATCTTTCCGCTTCGGCCTCTAGTTTTTCATCTCGTTTAAGAGCTTCCCTGTACTTCTCCCTCAAGCGGTTTTTTACAATCTTGGGATCTTGATCCGTTGTTTTGTATTCGGACTAACAGATTTTACTCACAAAATTATAAATTGTACAATAGTTTTGATTTATTTTAAAACTTACCTGCCCACCCATGGAAACACTACCACTTTCACTCTGGTTAAATTCGTTTTCCGATTGCTCCATATTAAAGTCTACAGATTTAGTGACCTCTTCAACCGTGCTGTCTATTGAATTAATGCCCAAATGTGGGGCAACGTACAGAAGGTTTTCATCCTTGTTCTTCAAGTAAAAGCTGTGATTATCGTCCTGATTGTTATCCATTTTTCTAAACTTCTTATATAGCCCCAAAAGTTATCTAACTAATTTTTGGTGAGAAATGCCTAGATCAACTTGGAATCAAAGCCAGAAAATCTATGATTTTACACAAAATACGATGTGAAATGTAAACTTAAGATGCAAATGCGACATGATCCTGTTCAAAAATTATTACTAATAATTTTAAAAAGGTATTGCAAAAAATTCATAAAATAGTCTTTGTGGTTATCTAAAGTTTTAAAAGAAAAAAATTGCAGTAAACATTTACAAATTCATTTTACAATTATCTAAATAACTTAATTTAAATGACTTTCAACGATTTTATCAACCTCTAATAGGTTAATGGTTGTGTACGAATTCAAATGAATTCAGAATGCTGAAATATATTTTTTTGCGTTCCGCAAGTACAATACCAGTGGCAATAGTCGCCGCAATAAGTACAATACCAATTGGGCTGCGGAGAAGTGAATACGTCAAGAGATATTTTCGTACTGATTTTATTGAGCATAACTTGGGGTGTGTATACAGGTTGAGAAAAAAATTTAAATCGAGCTGAAAGCGCATTTGTTTACTTATCTTTACAATTAAAAACTGGCAAATGTTGACAAAGTCACTTAAGAATTATCTAAATAACTCTATTTAAATGACTTTCAAAACCTTTATCATTCCTAATTGTCGACCAATATGTTTATGGCTCAAGGGAAATCAAATCGAGCAGCAAGCGCATTTGTTTATTTATCGTAAATACCATAAATATAGTTTGACCCAAAGTTACCTAATTTCGATTAAGACCCAACCACATACTCGAGATCTATTTATAATGCCACATTAATCAGTTTCACATGCCCATCGGGGGAGTTATACTATAGTTATCAAGCGGTCTGGCTGGGGGCTTTTGTTGACCAGCCCATTGGGCATTAATTTGGATTTGTTGCGCGAGCATTGGAGCTGGTCAAATTGGTGGCATTGTTGTCGCCATTGGCAGCAATCTATAGACGCCATCGGTGGCATTGCTATCGCAGCGGTCCGCCGACGAGCTGCCGCTGGCTCCCGCTTCGTTTATAGGCCGCTTGATAAGCCATGCCAGCCGATAAACCCGGGCAATAGAACAGCTCCCTCGCCGTGATAAAAACCCATCGATGAGCTGTATAAATAGCTCCATGAATTTACATGACCTCCGCCGCTACTCCACTCTCTATCTGTATCTGTATCTTTATCTCCTCTCCTTTCGACGAGCTATACCAATTTTCGGATCGACCGATAAAGCTTAGTCTAATCTTCAGGGGGGGAAACGGAATTGGGTGCGGGTGCCTTCACTGGATATGTACATAGGTGTCTGCCTAGGCCCCATATCGGTCCACTCCATCGACTACTGTATATTTACGCACCGATATTGATATGCGATAAGCAAAACTGCTTATAAAACACATTTATTTTGTTGTTCCCAGCAATGCCAGCACCAATAGCAATAGGACACTGAAAAAAAATGTCAGTCAAACAAACGTTTAAGATATGCTTTTGTATGTTCATCCCCTTTTTTCACATTGAATAAGACTAAAAATAAGGTTTAAAATGTGTTTTATTTTTTTAGTTAAATTCTTATTAAGGAACCATTCAGAACATATAAGTATGTTACAATAAAACTTCAATAAAAACTCTAAAAAAAATTCTTAAAAAAAATACATTCAAAATTGTTGAAAATATTTGAAAAACCTATCGATTTTTGAAATCAAGGTATAGTTACTAAATCAAATTTTCAAATATCAAAATAATTTAATAGCTTTTTGTGCTACAAAATTAAAGCTTTTATTGTTTATTATAAAAGGGTATTTAGAGTTAGAATCCAAGTTTTACAGCGATAATGTTTAAAGTAAAAAAATTGAGATTTCGATAATTTAAAAACTCTTTAATAAATGCAAATTTTTGTGGTAAGAAGTATTTATATTTCCTAACTGTTCATTTTCAATTTTGTTTATATTTGTTTCATAGTTTTTCCCAGTGCACTGCCCACGTCTGCCGATTGGCCGCTGCCGTCGCCTCCGATGGGTAACACTTGTTCGAATCGTGTATTACAGTAGTTTGTTGATAGCCAGCCCCGCGAACGGAACGCGTACGGAAGAAAACGATCGCGAGATCGATGTGGCTACAATACTTGTATTTACCGACCACAATAGCCAATTGCCGGGAGAAAAACAAAAGCATTTCGAGCTGCAGACGGAGAAGCACTAACGTTTTGCGAATTTCGCAAAATTCACTGGCCAAACGGGGAATTCTGTGTGGCATTAGGTAACCGGAGAAGCAGACCCGTAGTTCCGGATAACAAAAAAAAAAGAGCCGTATCAGCTGAAGAATGGCGAATATGAAGCCATCGTGTCAGTTGTCCATGTGGTCTTAGCCACACACAGTGTGAGTGTGTTTGCTCCTATTTTGATTCCGCTGCTCGGCCAGCTCGATAAACAAATTGTCTATTAAACAATCAACTTTTCACCTAATAAATGATATCGTATAAATCAATTGAGTCGATGCCAATCAAGTGGGGCAACACAGATAAATCTCCATCACAATGGGCTGAGATCGCAGATCTTGGAAAGCAAACGAAATGCATAAACAAACGTCCCTCGCATCAGAAGTGTTTTATGAGTATTGTGTGTTTGTGGTCGGGCAGAGTGATCGGGAAATGATTTGTTCGTGACATTCCACTTAAAGGAGGAACACACATTTATTTATTATATTAGAATGCATACAGAATATTTAAATGACAAAGAGCAACGCTACATGTTTCGCGACTATAAAAATACAATCAAAGTGAAGGCTTTATCTCTTCCAATCAAGCTGTATTAAAAACTCAATTTTTGATATTTTATATCCCCATATGGGATCAAAAATATTCCACAACAATAGTCATTTTTCGCATCACATAGTTCCAAAATGGATCATTAAGTTTTGAACACACTTTCCGTATCGAGCAGTTCACCGTTACAGCCCTTCTATGCGCTTCTCAATCGATCGAGTGCCCCCGAAAGTTCTTTGGTAGCCGCCATTCAATTGATAAACGGGCATTATCGCTGCGGCAATGATTTATTGTTGCATAAATGGCACTTACTATTTATTAATAAATGGAAGGCGAAATTCTGATAATTTATATATATGAGCCAACCAAGGATTTGTGCCCAAGTGGTTGTGTTTGTGTTTGTGAGCCAATGTAGAGCACCCGTTCGCATCGAATGGCCAAGTAAATAAACAAAAGTGGATTTTTACACTCATCGCCGACAGCGCACAATAAAATGTGTGAAAAATGTGCTTGGGCCAGTGGAAATGCAACCGCGTAGACCAAGTAAATAAATAAATAAATTCAAACTTGGAGAGCACCGAATGTTTGCTAAGAAATTAAATGAAAATCGATCATTTGGGAATAGAACGAATGGCCAGCCCAGTGGATTGCCAAATAAATAAATGCCAGACCGTTGTGTGTGCTGTGCCCCAAAGTAACTAATTAAAGTGTTTGACAGGTTCCTGTGGCGATAACAAGTAGAAGACAATGTCGTGGATATGCTAAATGGAAATGGATCCGATGATTTGTGATCTGCGGTCTGGCCATATCTGGCTATTGATTCTCATTTGTTTCTGCGGCTTCGAACAATCCCGCGGTTTTTTTGTTGACTATACAGGTGAGTTATGGGTGATTATTATAAAATTACTTTAAATGTTTTAAGCTGGTTAACCCTTAGTTGCTTAATCTTATGTAAATAATAAACCATTGAGGGAGACACAAAAATTACTATAGATTCAAATCACTTTAAAAGCTTTTTTGTAACTCCACGTTTCCGCATTCATTCGTCAAAACGCCCAGAAGGTTAATCGCAATTTTGGAGAGCACAGCGCTTGATAAGATACTGTCAATTTGGCTATCATCGATACAGAAAATAGTAAACAATTTTCTTGCCATTGCCTTGATTGAATGGTTCGCTTTTTTTGTATATTTTTCGCCGGTGCAGAAAACACGGAGCTGATTCAACAGAGAGTCGGCTTTGATGTCAAGCTGCAGTGCAATCTCAAGGGTTTGGTGGACGATAACATGTTGGATGACATCAAGATACATTGGTACTTTAAGGTATTTATTGACTATACTTTTTCTTAAATCTTTTAAAATACATTTCTTAACTCTTAAACTCTAGCAATGCAGTGAAAACAATTGTCATCAGCTGGAGTCCGTGGATGAGTGGACTGCTCTGCCTTGTGAGCCAAGTCTTTGTCGTCCGGAATTGTGGCTCCGGAATGTGACGGAACGGTATTCCGGACTCTACAAATGCAGCATTAATCCACACATTTGGGATAGAACTCAAGCTGTGGATGTTCAACTGGTTCGCACTTATCAGTTGGATGTTAAAAGTGAGTTGTGCGAGTTATTAAAATATTAAATATTAAAGAACATTTGTTTATTTATTATATAACAAAAAAAACACATTTAAATCAGTAAATTTATATATTCTCGAAATGAGAAACAAAATTTTGATTTACTAATTTTTAAAATATAAATAACATATATTTGCTCATAATTTTTTTTTTATTTCAAAAAGACGTTTTTAAAGATACCAACTTATTATTTTAGATACCTCTTTGGCTGCCCCCGAGTTTGTGGACTCGTATCCCAATAACAAGACCACATTGGTGGGCAGTCGGGTGGTGTTCCAGTGCCGAGTTCACAGCGAGGAGCATCCCACAATCAAGTGGTTCCGCCGACAAACCTATGTGGCAACTCAGTCAGTGGGAGAAGCCTCGTCTACACCCACTGCCTCCAATTTCAGCACACATATTGTGCGTTATAATGGCAGGACATATGAACTGCTGTCCACTGATGCCGAAAAGTTGATGGCACCACAGATATATCTCAGCAAGCTAATTTTGGATGGAGTGAGATTGAGGGATGCAGGCCATTACGCCTGCGTGGCCATCAGTTATCGAGGTCACAAGATCCGGGAGGCATTCCTCGATGTTATTCCCGTTCAGGAGGATTCGGAAAAGGAGTACTGGTCGGACTACGATAGTAGCGAAGAGGGTGTTACAGCCAGTGATCCTCGGGAGTTCCTTTTGCTCTTTTTAATGCCCTTAGGATTGGCATTACTTCCACTGACCGTGTGGTTCAGTTACTTGTTGTACAAACGATGTTCGGAGGGTCACAGTGAGTGCCAGCGAATGGATTCGGATGAGGATCTGGACACGGAAAGGTGCGTCCTTGGAGGAAATTGACGTTTAAAGCCATAATCGGAAATGATGCAAGCTGCATTACGCTTATTAAGTTTATGAATAAAGACTGTAAGTAGCGTTAAAGAATTTGTACATACATATATGTAAGATTTAGAATAAATGCTAAAATTAAATTTGTTTTAAAATTAATTTTTCTTTTCTGTGCATTTCTTTCTCATTTCATGAAACTAAAATCTACAAAAGATTTTACAAATCAGAGTTTTTCTGTGCTACTTTGTATGCTACTTTGTGCTATTTTAAACATAATATGTTTTTAGCGGAAATTGTTGAATAATTTAATTACCCTAGCTAACAAGTCATCTGGGCTCCTTCCCTCACCTAAGATTCATTTAAAATTTTATATAACATATTGTTTTGTGCCTTTTGGTTGAATGTGTTGGTTGTGTTTGAATTTTACTAAGGCAAGCTATTGAAGCAAAGTTCCAAATTTCCGTCTTATGAAATTCCAAATTAGTCCTCATTTGGGCACTAAGACCACCACTATCAACACCGAGGTTGTAAGCAGCAACCTCATCCACATCCAGCAGTTCCAGCATCCTGAACGATCCTTTAAAGTGCCGCCATCCACCTGATGAGATCTGAGATTTGCCTGCAGTTCCATTTGATGCGACAACTTGGCGTTAACATATACTATATATCAACCAACTGGCACCAGACGCGGATTATTCATAACCTTAGGAAGATATTCAGCCAAAAGATTTTCGGGGCAGGGTTGGTGTAACTTAATCGGACAAACTATTAGTCCATGTCTGGTTCCAAAAGAAGCCGCAGTATGTTGAACTACTATGAGTACTTTTTGCCCGGAATCTATGACTATCCGGTGACTCATAGTGCCGAGGATACGTTCAGTGCCTATTATCTGGATCCCATTCTGGCCAGCGGCTCATCTTCATGGTCGATTTCCAGTGCCACCTATGTGGCAGGACCCTTGGGCGTGATCAACTACCTGTCGGATGTGCAAACCCACTTGGCTCTGCCGATCAGCCAAAATCTTGTAATCGGTAATAGTCTAATCTATACGACCCTCAGTTCGGATAGCCTGGATTCCTATCCCCATCATCCGCCCCATGACTACTCGCAGATGGAGGAGGACGATGGGTACGGGTATGAGTTTCCGCAGTTGAATCTCTGCCTGGCCCGTTTCATTTCCGATTCCGAGGGTGAAAGGGAGCCAGTGGAGGAATCCCATATGGATCAGTCGGCTGATTCCCAGTGTTTTGCAAAGAGTTACTCATCTGTGGAGATCAGCGAGCAGTCGGGATCAGGGGAATCTGTTCAATCCGAAGAAGTGCCCAAAAAGAAAAGGAAGGTATCTCATAAACGCACCTATCAAGCCGAACAGGGTTACCTGGTCGAGGAACCCACCAGTGAACTTTCTGAGGAGGATCCCGAGGAACTGCTACCCACATCCAGGAAATAGATACTCCTTCAGTTGGTCCTTTTCATTTCCGAGTTATTTCGCACTTAATTGTGTTAAGTTCAAATTCGAGCAGTTGCAAAAATCGACCAAAGATGCGTGTTCAGATGTATGCAATTGTGTAGAATTGTAAAAACTGTTCAAATTTGATTTATCGTGGCAATTTGATAGTGAGCACAATATATATACATTTTATAAAAAATTTGTTTTGTCTTGGAAATCCTTAGGCGAATTTAATATTGTTACCATAGCATTTTTAAAAACTATTATAAACTTACACAAGCCTTTTGAAAAACCTATTGCATTATTATTAAATTTTAACGTATACGTGATATTCGTCATGAACTAAAACCAATTAGCATTAAAAAGCCAATTTTCCCTAGTTCCGTGAAATAGAAAAAAATCATTTAAAATACACGGAGCCTTTTCAATGAATACAATGATAAGGCAAAACCATTGTTTTCAAATATTCCTCATATATGCTCAAATTAGGGAACCAAATCTAATACACAGTAGCACCTAGTCGAGACCTAATTTGCACTTCCATTCAGCAGCTAATTTAATTATTCGCACATGTTCATTGGATTTGTTCTCAGTTTCTTACTCTCTTTTGTGTGATAATTTGCCTGCCTGTCTCTCTGCTTTTCTCTAACTCTCTCTGTCCCCAAAGTCCCCTCTCTTTCGCTGCTTATCGCCCCCTCTCTTTCTAGTTGTGGGACTGCCTTCCATCGTCAGCCGCTCAGTTGTTGTACGGCTTTTGTTGCCATCGGACGTGACTTGTATTTATTTATTGTTTGGCTGTCGACGGGGCCAGCGAAAACGAAACCACTCGCTATAAAATAAACAAAAAACTATTTTTAGGCTGCAAATTTGAATATATTTTGTTAGATCAACTGCAGCAGCATAGAACCCATAATAATGGACTGCAAAACGCGTCGCGGCACCAAAATATCGGTGATCGCCTTGGGCAGTGCCCTCTGTTTTGTGATGATGGCATACTTTGTGTTTGGCGACAGTAATGACGAGCAGGGTCTGCGGAATCTACGCATGATATCCATAGTAAGCTGCAGCATAAAGCTACAAAGCTATATAGAAAACAATGAAAACTGAGTATTGTGTTTATCAATCCAATCCACCAGCTGTTCCGACACGGGGCCAAGAATCCAAGTGGCTTCTATCCGCTGGATCCGCATGCAGCGCACGATTGGCAGGGCGGCATGGGAGCCCTTACACCGGTTAGTACAAGATACAGTAGAGCTTCAGTAGTCAACGATTATCAGGGGTTTAACATCACCACAATTTGCAAAGGTACCATTTCGATAACTAACAATATGTCTCATTTAACAACCCGAAACTAGTCAGTGATCAGTCAGTACTAAGGGTTAATGGCAATTGTTCTCATATAAATAAATAACAATACTTTTTAATTTCTCTTATTTTACAACTCAAAACTAATCGATGAATAAAATAAGTGGCATTTTTATCAAGATCATGAATGCCAAAATTATATTTTTTAATTGTTTTCTACTTGATTTCGATATCTAATCTACAAATCATTAAAACCTTACCCAAGATTCATTATTAACATTTACTCTTTAAAAAGTGCATTGTAAAAACAAAAATGTTAATTAGTTTTAGCTTTTTATAGTTCAGTTAAGTTATAAAAAACACATAAACTACTAAGCCCATATGCTAATATACCTATAAATTTGTTTCGAAATGATAAACAAGTTTCTGCCTTCCGACTGTCACAAATACAGTAAAAATAAATTTTAGACAGATGCCTTTAGGTAAAGAAAAATCATTAGTTCAGCAATTACTCAAGTTTTTTTTTTTTATCTTGAAACTTATTGTCATACATCAATAAAATAGTCGTAAAATTGAAACATTTGTTAAAGGAATTCTAAACTATTCTAACTTTAAACTCGTGGGATTATAAATAAAATGTATAGTAAATTTAATGCCTATATTTATTATTTAACAAATATTTAAATTTAATAGTGCATAGAAACCTTAAAGTACAAGCTTTATATTAAGACTTACATGTATTTTAATAATGCCTGAATTCTTTGCTTTGTGTTTGTAACTTTTTGTGTTTAAGTTAGTAAATTGATCCGAGTCATATAGGTAAACAATTCTTACCCATTTGTAATTGACTATTTATTTCTTCCATCATAGAAGGGCAGTCTGCAGGCATACAACCTGGGGAAGAATCTGCGCATGCGGTACTACCGACTGCTGCCCTCGAACAGCCTCTACACGCAGCAGCAGGTGCACGTCCTCAGTTCGGCGGCGGAGCGCTGTGTGGTGCGTCAATCGTTCCGATGAGAAACGCTCTATCGAGTCTTTACTGTAGCTATCTGTGCGAGAATCGAGATGGGGGTGCCCTAATCAGTTGGCCGTGTGTTATCTTTTAGATGAGCGCCCAGAGCGTCTTGGCCGGCATGATGCCGCCGCTGGAGAACAACAATGTGCTGCCCATTCCCTGGCAGCCGGTGGCCGTGAATACGCTATCGCGAAACGATGATATTGTTAGTGCAATCTTATAGTCATTAACCACATGCAAGTCATTATATAGTGCGATATCTCTTCTAGCTATTGGCCCAAAAGAAACCGTGTTTGAAGTACGACAACATCTTGCAGAAACTCTACAAATCCCCACCCGCTGAACTTCAAAAACTCAACGAGGACAACCTGGAATTGTACAAGCTGTTGACCAAAAATACAGGCAAGGTGGGAGAGGCTCAGTGAATGAGTTACACCAACATTGGTCGTTAATTCCATTTTTATCATATCAGAATGGCACTTATCTATTCTGTGAAATTGTATTTTGAAAACATCTCATTAGGCTTACTTTTTGTAGCTTATCAAAGGGCAAAGCATATTATTTTTTATAAAAATCATTTCATATCATTACTCTTACTCCTCTTCGTTAAAAAATAGTTTATTTTAGTCGCTTTGTTAAAAACTTTTTTCCTTTTTAATCTTATTAAATTTTGAAATCATAATGGAATTTAAAATTATAACCATATAATAATTTCAATTATAATTATAATTGTGATTTCATCCTTTAGAACATTTCCAATGTCTTGGACGTGGAGCTACTATATGGCACTCTTAAAACCGAAGAGGAAGCTGGTCTGGTGTTGCCCGACTGGACTGAGAACATATATCCCGAGGAGATCAGACCACTGGCCGAGCGTAGCTATACGCTTTTCACCGAAACCAATCTGATGAAGCGGATTAAAGGTGGAGCTTTCCTCACCGAAATACTCTTCAAAATGCAGAATAAGCGAAAGAGAAATCTGAATCCCGATCGCAAAATATTTCTATATTCCGGGCATGATGTGACACTGGTTAACGTAATGAATTCCTTGGGGATACTGGACCAGACCACCAAGCTTCCCGAATATGCGTCGGCATTGGCGTTTGAGCTCCATCACAGCAAGTCATTCAGCGATGGCGACTTTGAAGTGAAGGTTGTTGGTTGTAGCTTTGATAAATTGCAGATACTTATATTATTATTTTTTGGCAGTTGGTTTACTATTACAACAGCGAGGACAAATTCCCCAAGGAGCTGACAATTCCCAATTGCGATGCACCTTGCTCGCTGTCCCAGTTTGAGGCTTCGGTGAAGGCCCTACTTCTGGATAACTACGATGAGACCTGCGAGAATCATACGACTGATTGTAAAAACTAAAATTTCTTCCATTGTTGATTGTTTTCGAGTTTTAAAAGTGTGTTTATCTGGCATTTCAAAGAAATTTCCAGAAATTGTTTTGGGTAACTCTGTACGATATAAATGGTTTTAATATATATGTAGCTTTAATTGGAACATAACTTTAGACATTATGTCTTGACAAAAAGTATAAACTGTGCTATAAATGTCCTCTGAAGTAATGTGAAAGAAACTGGACCAAAAAGACAAAAAAATTGGATAAGGTATAAATTCATATTATACGTAATCAACAAGATGTACTTTTGAAATCGCTAGAATCTTTGATAGCACCGCAATATGATAAGTATTTGCTCCAAAAACTGTTAAACTTTTAATAAATATGTACATAATTAGACAAGAAGGCTGTCTCTCACATTTCACATAAAGCTGTCTCCTGAAATTAAATCAAAAGCTGGCACCCTTGTCCTCGGCATATAGAAAATATATGGGAACTTTGACCTTTTCGCTGACATGAACGATCTCGGTGTGACTTATTAGACGGATGGCAGCCAGTCCATAGAACAGCATTGGTAAGCCTATGATAAAGTTATAGATATAGAAACATATACCAGGCAAAGAGGTTCAACTTTGAATAAGATTAAAATTATATACTCTTAATGAGTTTAGACAGACTTCCACTTACCCAAATTGATTACTTTTAGAAAGCGAAAGAACTTGTCCTCCAGCCAGAGATCCTGAACCTCCCTCTTGCTACAGTGATACTTCATATACGGATAACAGGCGGTGCGCAGAATGTGGTAGTTGGTTCCACTGTCCAGAGTCCAGTTGAAGTGCGACATTCCCCGCTGATCGTTGGCCACATCCCGGAACTAGGTTCTTGAAATTTATAAGCAATCCTTAAGAGGAGAGTGGCGAATCCTACCTTCACGAAATATGATGTCCAAGGTGGCTCATGGCATTGTTTCAAATATGCGGTCAATACTTCCGAGGCTCGAGGCTTCAGTAAAAGGCGGGTGAGCTGCATTCCTTTGATAATTCTCTACCTTATTGCATCACAAAAATAATAACAATTGAGCTGACACTTTTTTGTTATTACTTGTTTGGCTCTTATCGAATTCCCAGCTGTTCTACAATCGATAGTAGCAGAAGTAAAGGCCTCAGTGCTGTGCAGATTTGTATTTCTATGATATAAAATAGCTTAAAATTTAAAATATAAATAATTAAGTTTAAGCTAAATTTACTTATTAATTTGTGTTATTTGAAAAGCCACAATATAATTTATACTGATATACTACTTTAACTTAACTAAATTTGTACTATTTAAAAAGCCATATTATATTTTTAAACTGATACTTCCTTTATTTAACTATTTATTAAATTGATTTTGAAAAGCCATATTATGTTTCTTAAACTGATATATTAATTAAATACTGAATGATAAATAAAATTTTTAATTAGATTAAATATTAAATTTATTTTAATACTTATTTTTTTAGTGACTTTATCGAAATATTAAAAAAACAATTAATTTAAATATATATTTTATAATTTTCTTGCTGTTTATAGATTTGTCATATTTTTGAAGTGAAATTTACTATAAAGTAGCTATATTTACAGATTTGGTTGTCTTGAACATCGATAGCAGTGCAGTTATCGGTTGTAAAGCGCGCCAAATTTAAATTATTTTCTTTATAGAGTATAAATGATTGATTTTATTTGCCAATTTTGTAGAAATTATTGTGAATTATTCTCATATTTTCAGACTCCTGGCAGTTAGAAGCACCAGCAAGAATACCGGTCTGACGGAGCACTTTACGCTGGATGAGCAGGTGGTTAACGAGGAGCTGTTGCAATATGAGGAGGGTTCGGTGGAACGCATGGCACTGGAGAACGCTCTACTGGGAGTTCTTAACAAAGTGGAAAAAGTGCCCATTGTGATCAATGGCCAGGAGTTCCAGGCCAAGGAGGAACTGCAGCAGGTACTGCCTTACAAAATACAACAACCTATAGCCCACTACGGCCACGCCCACCGCGTCCTCATCCAAACGGCCATCGATAAGAGTTTGGAGGCGCAGGTAAAGTGGGACAAGACCAAGCTGAGTGAAAGGATTGATATTTGGGAGCGGGCTGCGGAGCTGATAGCCGGAAAACATCGCTACAACATTATGGCGGCCACAATGTTGGGCCAGGGAAAAACCCTTCGTCAGGCAGAAACGGATGTGGCCGAATTGGTGGACTTTATGCGCATTAATCCTGTCTTTTTGCGTGAACTGGCCAACTATGAACCCATTAATGGCGCCCTGCAGGACTGCAGGAATTCCATGCGGTTGAGAGGACTTTCAGGTATTGTTTTTTTTTTGGAAAAACATATGTTTCTTTAATCAATTTATATATTTTTTTCATCTGCAGGATTTGTGGCTGCCATTAGTCCCTTCAACTTCACGGGCATTGCCGGCAATTTGGCCTACACACCCGCCTTGATGGGCAACTCGGTGCTTTGGAAACCGTCCGATTCGGCCATACTCTCCAACTATTTTGTTTTCAAGGCCATGCAGGAGGCGGGTGTGCCCCATGGGGTGGTGAACTTTGTGCCCGCCGAGGAGATGACCTTTGCCTCTGTGGTCACCCAACATCCAAAGCTGGCGGGTATTAATTTCACCGGCACTTCCAATGTGCTCAAAGTGCTCTGGCAACTGGTGGCCCAGAACATAAACTTCTATGAGAACTATCCCCGTTTGGTGGGCGAGGGAGGTGGCAAGAACTTTCATTTTGTGCATCCTTCGGCGGATCCGGAAATGGCTGTGGCCTGCACCATCAGAGCTGCCTTTGAGTACTCCGGGCAGAAGTGCTCGTCCTGTTCGATGTTGTATGTGCCGGAATCACTGTGGGAGGATCACATACGGCACCCGCTACTCAAAGTCACTTCCTCCTTATTCGTGGGTCCTGCCACCTACTGCGACTGCTTCTGTTCGGCTGTGATTAATCGGAGGGCCTACGATCGTATCTACATGTGGCTGAGATATATCCTCCAGAGTCCCAGTTGCCAGCTTCTGATCGGAGGAACCTGCGATAAGCAAAATGGTTACTTTGTGGATCCCACGGTGGTGCAGGTGAAAGATCTGGATAATATCATATGCAGGGAAGAACTGCTGGCACCCATACTGGGTGTGTACGTGTATCCGGATGACAAACTCAAGGAGACCATGACCAAAGTGGCGGAGATTAATCATGGGCTGGCGGGTTCGGTGTTTGCCAAGGACCAAAACTTCATTCAGGAGGCCTACGAGGCCTTCAGATTCAATGTGGGCAACCTCAATGTAAACGACAAGTCCACCGGTTCCATGGTGGGTCAACAGCCTTTTGGAGCGGGTCACATGACAGGTACCAGCGATAAGTTGGGGACTCCCCACTGCCTGCTGCGATGGACCTCACCGCAGGTGATCAAGGAGTCGTACAAGCCGCATGTGAACATCTATTACCCGTATATGCAGATCACTGAACAAAACCAGGGCATCATTCCCTTGGACAGCGAGCAAAAGGAGGCAGTCGCCCAGGATAACAGCTCCTTTGTGGCCTCCAGTGATGAGGACAATCGCCCCATATAACATCTTTTTAGAGCTTTGTATTCATGATCTAAATTTCTGTGGCAATAAATTAAAAGAAAACATTTAACATTTTTAGAGAAAGTAAAATGGTGTAGTAGTTTTAGCTCAAGAATAAAATCTACACTGGTAAGAAATTCGTAGTGACAAATTTATCGCTTTGGTTTTTATCCATTGCTGCTTTTAGTATTTAAAATTGGAAAATAACAAATTTGTTAAATTTTGTCGTTTGATATCTGAAAATGTAATTTAAATTTAGCTTTCTAATGTTTTCCACGTTCATTAAAATATTTTAAAATTAAGTCATTAAATTTAAAACACATTGTTTTTAACATTAATATTTAATCAATAGTCAGATATTTATTTGATGTATTATTTTATTTATTAATTCATTATTTTAGTGTTTGAGAGACCTTAATTTTAATCCATAGTGACTTTATGACTTATCTCAGCACTTTTGAAAACAAAGTCAAGTATTTCAAACAGTTAAACATGATAAAATATAACCCACTCAAATGATATACCACGGATTCATTGAAAACACATGAGATGTCCAGATATTTGTTTATAATTTCATTATCCCTTGTGATACTGATATTAGTTCCCATCAACTTCGCCGAAGTAGAAGTTCAAAAGGTCAAAATGCCTTTCAAGGAGGCCGCCACTTGGTCAAGAATGTTGGATGGCATGGGTCAACAGTCGCATGTCCACAGACTATATAACGCCTATCGCGATCGTTTGAGAGTCGAGGGTGACGATGCCGATGGCGAGCCAAAATTAAGTCCAATGGAATCGAAAGATGTAGCTAGGAAATTAACGGAGCCCATGACCATGGAAAAAGCCTCTTTAGAAGTTCCCATTTTCTCCGATGAATGGACTATTTCGCGTGGAAAGTCAAACGAATCAATTACTAAAGAAGAAGATCGTCCCATTATCCAATACGATGCCACCGATGAACATTCAAATCCATCGGGAAAATGCCTTGCCCGATTTCCAAATCTGAACAGCGAAAATCAAAGTATTTCAATAAAACCAAAGGTTAAAACTCCACTGGTGGGTAGTATGATCATCATAAAAATGGATGTGCCAGAGAAATTGCTAGGAGCTAAACCTCCGGAAAAGATGAAGGATCCCGGTGAACGCCGAATATTTGAACTCAATCAGATATACAACGAGTTTTTGAAGTCCTGGCAACAGCCTGTCCAAAGTTTGACCCCCAAGACTGAAACGCTAAATAAAAATTCTGCGGGATCTCAGAGATTGAGTGCATTGTTCGAATTGATGGATGTGGTGGAGCGCCTTCAAAAAAGCGATTTGGTTAAGGAATTAGCTCAAAAGATTAACGAGAAAATGGAACCCAATCTGCAGAGTCAAATCAAGCAGGATGCTCTTTTGGTAACCGAAAGTAGAGCCTCCCTAAGAGCCATTAAAAAGAATGATCTCTCTGGACTTTTTGAAAATGTGGAGCCCGGAAGCGCTTCCAAAGCATTCAAGAGAATGTTGGATGACATAAACTCCAGAAGATCAACGATCAAAGCTGGCGGACTTTACGACGAGTACAAGAAAGGTTTCTGTGAGTTATTCAGCGATCATAAATTTCCCAGGGAATCGATGATAACCAGTGAAGCTGATTATCCTTTGGACAGCGAAATGATTCGAAAAAATAATGACAACTTTCCCTGTCGATGTGATAGCTCGAAACCGACCTCTATAATAAGTAATCAAGCAATTGCAATTTCCAAACCAAAAATAAACTATTTAAAGGCCCTGGAAGCATATGTTAAAATGTTCAAGGACAGTAACCAGAACGGCGCTGTTGTTCCGACTAAAGGTCCCAAAATAAACGTAAACTATATGAAGGCCCTGGAAACCTTTATTAAACTGAACAAGGAAAGTAATGAAAACGGTGGCCTAAAGCCTTACTACTTGCCAAATTCTAAAAATCGTCAGCTTGTTTGGAATGATATTCCATTGATTAAGCCAGGTCTAAGTGTAACCGCCAAGAAAAATTTGGAAATCAAGCCAAAGTATGAACCCTCTTGCACTGCCAGCAAAGAAAATGTGTTGCCTGAAAAGGAATCCAAAAAAGAACATAGATTTAAATCTATTCCAAAACAAGACACTAAAAATGAACAGTGTACTCCCAAAACTGAGACCAAATCGGAGCAGTGTACTCCCAAAACTGAGACCAAATTGGAGCAGTGTACTCCGAAAACGGAGACTAAATTGGAGCAATGTACTCCTAAAACGGAGACCAAATTGGAGCAGAGTGTTCCAAAAAATGAGACCAAATTGGAGCTGGGTAACCCAAAAACGAGGACTAAATTGGCGCATCAAGAGGTTTTCTCAGGACTGGATCCAAAGCAAATTATCAGCGGATTGAAGGCCATAAAACAATCGTCCTTCTTCAACCTGGCTGATGAGTATCAGAAGCAAATCGACAACCTAAATCAGGCCTTAAAAACCAAGCAAAGTTGGTGGAAGGAGGTTGTGGAGCGGGGCAAATCTCCTGTCAGAGCACCCATGAAACGGAATGTACCCATGAATAATGCCCAAACTGGAGCTGCTATGCCTTTGCCATATCCCGAGGTTCTGGTCAATCGGGCACCACAAATGGGTGTCATTGATAACATGGCCTCTCAAATGAATCTTTCGCCCTTGGAGATGGCTAAACGAATTGTGGCAAATGGTCAAAACTATGCGCTCAATCCAGGTGTACCAAGAGTCGGTTTTGTGCAAACTAACATACAACCAGGTATGTACGGAAAACAATGGCTTAATAGTTGTTATATGTATCTCCTTTAAAAGCAAGTCAGATCGGAGGTAGCTTCAAGAAAGAACAAGGTATCATGTGCCAACAAGTGGGTCAGCCGTTACAACAACCTCAACAGCAACCAGATTCCCAGGAGCAAACGGAGCAGATGGGGATTTCCCCGGTCTTAGACAAGATACTCCAGCGTTTGGAGAACATTCAGTCCACCAAACGCAATCAGTCGTCGGAGGAGGAGACGGCAAAGGAACTGCCCTGCTGCTTTGTGGATCCAGCTGATGGTTTACCATACCACTTTGAACTAATGTTTAAACTAATTTCGATTATTAACAGGTGCCCCCTGTGAACTGAACGGCTCCTGGGAATCTCTTGTCCTGGGAGTTCGCATTAACATCCGATCCAATGCCACAACGACTGTGGATGGGGAGGCAAAGGCAAAGGCCACCTGTTCGCAACACAAAGGGGGTCGTGGCCATCGTAGATTTGTGCGGCAGTGCGTCAAGATGAACAAGAGTCAGTTGAAGGATATCGCAGAGGTGAATTCCACCAAACCTCATGGCGTGGTCCTAAGCATTAGTGTGCAAGAGACAGTGCCGCCGAGAGCCCACGATCTGCTGGATAATCTCACCGACTGGAGCTTCTCGGGCCATGCCTCAATGATCCTCGGCGGACCGATGTCGATCTCCTTTCGCAAAGGGAACTCCAATCTGATTGGACACTTTGTTGGCTACTGTCGCACCTGCGGTTGCGTGGACACCATTTTCGGGTCCTGGACCTTTTGTCAGCCCTCGCGGGATTGTCAGGATATCTGCATGTCGCTTGTGGATCGGCGGGATATGCTGCGGAGATACAGCATGGATGAGCGGCGCATGAATCGGTTCAAGGAGCAGCTCTACATGAGCAGCAAATTCGCAAAGATGGAAAAAGAGCGACTGCGATCCGAGCTGGAAAAGTCTCGTTGCCAAACTCAGGGTGAAGCTAGTGCGAATAGTCCTAGTCCTTCTAAAAGTCAAAGCTGTTAAAAATTTTATTTTGATTTCTTATGTACTTTAATATTTTTTATAAATTTTACTAAGTTTGTGCTTAAGAGAGGAATTGTTTTGATTTTAAATAAACTTTTAACGAAAAACATCATTTTGAAACAAAATATGAAAACTTTCAAAAATGTCAAAAAAGACTTTTAAAGCTGTTGCGCAAAAGTATGCAATAATATATTTTGAGTCCTGACATTCAATGGATTTTGAGTTTCTATTTTTATACTGCATACTTTTAGACACCCTTTAAGTTATTCAAAAACCTAACGTGTTCTGTGGCACCCTATGTACGTTTGTTTCTGTATAAATTTGTTTTTTTACAAAAGAAAACAGTTTCCCAAATTCAAATCAGTCTTTTCAAGTCAATGCTCGCAGTTTATTTTGTCACGCACAAGTAGATATCTTACAACCGATTCTCCTGCCTCCTTTGGTGATGAATGAACGACATGGTAAAACCAATCGAACGTTTCACGCAATGCTCATCCATTTGCTCGTCCAGGATGCACTGCCTCAACAGTCCCGCTGCGTAGTTCGTGATCCTAGCTTTAGTGTCCTCGCTGTCAATCCGTTCCAGTCGCTTATCCACCTTGTGCATTAGGACATAGGCCTCGGGATAGTGGGCCACTTCGCAGGGCCACCGAGGAGAATGCGGATGATCCAGGGACACTATGTACTCCTGCATTCCAGAACTATCCTCCTCCTTAGATCCACGGAGGGTGTTGGCCTGGACCAAACCCAGTGCTGAGATGAGTAGAATCACGAGAGTAGAGTTCATTGCAACGACTGTTGTTAAACTGTGAAAATGCATTCTATAACTCACCCTTTTTATAGGTCTCACATGACAACAAGAAAAAAGCGCCGCCTGATAATCGAGTGGAGGCACTGTGGGAAAAAGGGCTTCGGCCTCACATTGTTGCTATTCAGACACGAGCTTCTCAGCTTTTGAGAGGGTCAATGTCGGGTCACTGATTAGCTGCAGCCTTCATATAATAAATATTGGCAAGCTGCATCAATGCCATAATGTTTAAAAACTATAAGGAAGCTAAGGAATATTTTTTATTCTTATCAGAATAAATACACAATGTTTGTTTCCAAAATGACTCATTAAATATATTAAGTACACAGTTTTCCCAAAATGCAAAGGCACTTTTTAAGAAATATCAAAAATTGTAAAATCACTTCTTGTTCTTATCGATCTTATTGGTAATCCAGTCCATGATTTCCTGACGCAAAAAAAATATATATATTATGTTTAAAATGTTATATTAAATGTAAAACTTCACCCACCGGTATCCCAGACCCTGTTTGCATAGAACATTCCTTAATGGTCCAATCACGACCCTGTAAGCGTTCCAGACCCATTAAATCGATGACTGTGGACACGGGCAGAGATCCCGAGGTGTCTTTTTTATTGGACACGATCAGCAGAGGAGCTTTATTGAGTTCCTGGTGCATCAGGACATCGCATAAAACACATCGAGCCTCACTTAGGCGCAGTGCATCCTTGCTGTCCAGTACAAAAATCTATGCTTTCGGGATTATAGTCAAGTCTTTAATTTTAAAGAAACCCCGCTTACCAAGACCTTTGCTTTCTGGTAATAGTTGGGCCAAATCTGCCTGTTCTTCAGTTCGCCATTAATATCCCACAACTGCACTTTGTAATTATTGATTGTGAGGGTCCACTCACTGACCTGCTTGTTAGGTTCTTTTGACTGTAATTATTCGGGGGTACATTTGGAATAAGCAAAAAAACTCCAAAGTCTTACATCACCATTATAAATTTCTGCCAGTCGGGCTGTCAACGTTGATTTTCCAGCATTATCTAGCCCTAAGATGAGCAGACAGGATCTGTGTGAACCCGTGGGCAGAATCTTTTTAATGAGCGTTACGGGTCCGTAAAAACACATGGGGATTGGAATGTCACAAATTTTTAAGTAATAAAATTTAGTAAGGAAAAGTAAGGGATTTACAAGGCAGAGCCTTCTACACTTTGTTAATCATTATAAAGTAATATAAAGTTATTAGCAGCACTTCTGAATTTTTTGGTGTAAGGTTTTTTTCTTAAAATCCCACCAGCTTTAATAGTTCTTTTGTTAAAATAACTTTAAAAATATTGAAAATTTAATTTAAATCTCTTTTTTTCAACTTATTTTCAATCAATTGCTTATGAGAAGAAATAAGAAATAAGTCATGAGTAAGCGATTAAATCCTTAGGGTATATTGAGGTGACATTAATATTACGTATATATTTGTAATTTAGATCTTAGAGAAAACTTAACAGGCAAATATTACGATAATTGGGGCTACTTCTTCATGTTCTTGCAGACCCAGTCCATGCCCTCCTTGAGGCCAATGCCATTCACTGCGGTGCAGGCCTTGATTTCCCAGGTCCGCCCCTGCAATTGCACCAAGCTCATCTTCTCAGCCACCTCGGAGGCACTCATGGCATCCGGCATGTCCTGTTTGTTGGCGAAAATCAGCACGGGAACCTGTTTCAGCCGGTTGTCCATCAGCATCTCGAACAGTTCGCTGCCCGCTTCAGGAAGTCGAGTCCGATCAGTACAGTCAATTACGTAGATCTTAGAATTAATAATAATATTTTAAGTAAGCAATAAATATTGAGATCTATCAAAGTCTCACCAGCACATCAGTGTTAGCAAAGTAGTTCTTCCAATACGGTCTAATCTTCCATTGACCTCCGATATCCCAAACATTAAGCTTAAAACCATCGGCTGCCACGGACTTGATGTTAAATCCGGCCGTGGGCGTTACCTGCGGGGTTTCACTCCGTATTTTATGGGGAAAACGAAACCAGTTCACGGCCCTCATACGCACCGTGGTTATGTCCTCCGAGGCCAGTTGCTTCAGTATCGTCGTCTTGCCCGCATTGTCCAATCCCAGGAGCAGGATGCGAGCCTCCTTTTCCGGATTGGGTCTCAGTTTACGCAGCAGCGAAAGCAGACCCTTAAAGAATTTTAAATATTAATCATTTTTTTGCGGTAAGAGTTAACCCTTCAAACAATGTTTTGAATAACCTGATTCCCATCAGGCTGGGAAGTATTCTCTGAAAAAACTTTGATATGCAAGATTGTGATTGTGAGGTGGACAAACGAAGTTATTTTACAAGAAAAAGAGTTAAACAAACAAGAGTTAGACCAAAATATTGCATAATGAAAGTCGTACTTTCAAACATTAGAGGTGTTTGCTCATATATCTAAGCGAAATGTGTCACCAAATTACTTTTTTGTTGTTGTATAAATGTGAATTATTTGCGAATCGATTAAAAAAGGCTTAAAAAAAAAAAAAGCACTTGCTGATAGGTGAAAAACAGCTTATCAATTACTACACTATTACACAGAAAAACGGAATTTTTGAACTGAGATAAGTAAGTGCATCAGAAGCAAACAAAAACGGTGGTTTTCAATTGTTTTAATGGAGCAATGTATAAATAGAAATTAATATGCTTAATAAAACTGTGATTTCAATAAATAAAAACAACAATTTTATTTTTTTTTTTTTTTGTAAATAAATAAAATTTTAAACCCATTAGTTTGTTTATATAAGTTTTACTTAAACTGTGTTCAACTGTTGCTTCTTGTTTTTACCGAACCACCCTCTTTTTTGAATACCGATATGTTCGCGCCAAAATTGTGGCTTAAGTGCTGGAAAAAGTTCTTTTGGAAGCGCAGCCAACATAACAAAGTAGTGTTGAAAAGTTTTGCGTTGGTTTCCATGGCGACGATCGCGAAATGAAAACAAACCGAGCAATTACGGAATAACAAGGCACTTAATTAGCTGTTACCGAACCGGGAGATAACCTACCATCCTCTAATCTACGTCGGAACGAAAGTGGGAACGATATCTATATCTATATCAAGATCCCTCGGATCCGATAATCCGCTGGCTGTCCGGCGACGAAGTCTTCTGGTGGTCAAAGTCAGAAAAAGTCCGGAAATTTGGAAAACTCGGGCACTGGATCCACCACCAAACACAACATCACAGTTTCAGCGCTGCACAGCTACTAAAAACATATACAAATTCGCTCAACGCTCCAACAAATTCTGGACAGCAACAACAAAGCGTCGCCGAGCAACCGCTGCAAGGGAGCGAAAGAGAGGGGGCGAGTGGAGAGTGGGTGGGGGAGCGGAATCGAAATTGGAACGGGAACGGGAACGGGAAGAAGATGCCGCTGCTATTTACGGGCTTCAACGCATTTGGCCAGCATGAATGTGTAAGCGGCGACGTCGACTGCGCTGCCGGCTTTAGCGGTTTGTAACCGGCAACAAAAGCCGACGATCACTTAGTACTTACAGTAGACACTCACTAGCTTGAATCAGTAGCTTACTTTGGTAGGGCAAAGCTAACAGCAAACCCAGACTGTTTCTGTTACCTTTTGTCTAATTGTTCGGAAATAACTATACACTATCTATAGAATGAAATCAAAACTCAAGTCGCCTTTCTTGTTCTTATGGTAAACTAAACTAAACTAAACTATATTAATATTTATTTATCTATTTAGGTTTACAAAGTAAAGATTGCAAGACTATCTTAATTTAATAAGATAGATTAATAAAAATAATAATTAAGAAATATAGATTTGTTAGCTGTAAAATTGATTTGCTAAAATTTCTTTAAATTTAGAAAACTACACTGAGAAAACTTATTTTTGTAGAGGTTCCACCGTATGCATACTAATTCAATCCTGCCTTCATTACAGAAATAAATGCGCCAGTCTCGACTGAGAACCAGTGCACGATCTCGGTCGGCTGGCGGTATGCGGCTATCGCTTTGGGCCGGAAGTTATGGCTGCGTGGCCTCTTGGATGATGGCCCAAATGAGTGCGTGACCCTCGAGGCGGCGGGGGGACATTAAAGCCCTGGCCGCTGGCGATTCCTACTGCCTGGTGCTACTCCACAGCGGTCTTCTGTACCGCGTGCAACCCAAACTGCAAGGGGAACTACTAGTTGTTAGACTAGAAGCTCCACCCCAAACCAATTCGAGAACAAAGCGCTCTATCTTTGGTGTTCCCAAGGCGCCCCCATCGCCGATCATCGAGCACATTGCCTGCGGATCCCATATAAACGTAGCGGTCAGTTCGGAGAACTCCGTGTACAGCATTCCCAGTTGCCTGCATCAGTTTGCCGAGCGGCAGTTCCGAGTGAAGCAGCTCCAATGTGGCCATGAACACGCCGTACTTCTCAATGTCAACGGTGACGTATTCACCTGGGGAAATGGACTGTAAGTGGGGGCCATAAATGCACTTGGTTGTGCAGAAATACCTTTGCCGAGGGTCTTTTACTTCAGCCAGAAGTTTGTTAAGTATGGAGGGAACTTAAAAGTTAATTTGAAGACTTTTTTTAAAGAAAAAATGCAATTTAAAGTATCTAGGAGCAACTATATCTATACTGTTTTGACTGATTTTTATATAAATATAAACAAAATGTAGTGTGGATGTTATAAGGATCATCTTGAAAAAAGAGATACAATATATTTGAGTTTTTTATGGTGTAATTCTTTTTTATTTATTTACCTTTAAATGTTTATTAATTACCAAATCGAATTTATTTTGCTGTACGGGTATTTAAAGATTTAAAGCCATAATCTAGCTATTTTCTTATTTCAATTTCTTACTTTTTCTGCACATTCGTGTCATAATTAACAGACGCGGACAGTTGGGTCAGGCCGCACTGAAAGTGGAGGAGACGCCGCAATTGCTGGAGGCGCTGGCGGGGATCAAGGTACATATTTGCTTCGTCCACTTATCATTACAGTGACAATCTTAACTGTCTTGCAGATAACTCAAATAGCTGCCGGTGGTTGGCACAGTGCGGCCATATCCGCCTTCGGAGACCTCTACACTTGGGGCCTCAACTGCAGCGGACAGCTGGGAGTGCGGGTGATGAAACCCGGGGGCTTCCTCAAAGAGCCCACTGTATATCCGCTGCCGCAGTTGCAAGATCTGCCCGAATGTGGTTGCGGTTGCTCCAAAGAGGCGGAGGCCAACGATGATCACGATGACGATGAATGTGCTCCGCTGAGGGTGTTCGCTGGATCTCGTCACACTCTGCTGATCCGACGGTGCGGGCGGCTATGGGCCAGTGGATGGTGCAAGCACGGTCAGCTGGGAAAGCAGCTCCAAAACCTGTCTTATTTGGACGCATTTCGGGCCCTTGATGGAATCTGGATGAACACTAGCTCTGATAATGTTCTCTGCGGTCCTTGGTCAACGCTGCTTTATTTAAAGGAATCAAAGAATTGAAAACACGTATGTACAGTGTAAAAGGCTGTGAATCTTACATGAAAATCGTTTCAAAGTATACCATAAAATTTAAGAAACTTTTAAATTACAAAATTTAAAGGGTATGTTTAATATTAAAACTAAAAAAAAAATTAAACAATAAAATTCTATACCAGCTATGGCAGCTGTTTCAAGATTTTTTTAAAGTGTGTCATGTCAAAAAAGCTCAAAAAAAGCCAAACTCATTCATGTAACTTAAATGTTAAATGATTCCAACATGGAATTCTACAGAGAAAGCGACCCTCTGCGGCGAAATTTGGAAGCTGTAAGGTGAACTGTGCCGTCAGATGTCAAACGAAACATGTAGAAGTGGTGTAAATTCTTAAGTAAAATCGAAAAGTGAAACATTTTATGGAAGTTAAGAAAATTTACCGAAAGTAAGAAAATTGAGTGGAAAATTTTTCAGACCGATCTTGACCTGAAAGACGATCGCCATTGACGTCTGTGCTGGTCTTCTGAATATGTTATACAGATTAGCCAAAGCTAAGTAGGCCTCGGAGTATGTGTTCGACTTGGGAAAATCAAAATTACTCAAATCCAACTACAGGCTAGAGGTGGGGGAAAATCGTGGTTCATGGCGTAAGTCAATATGTTAGGGGGTTATCTATGTTTCTTGATCTATAAAAAAAACTCCCTTTATACCCAGTCCCAGCGTATTCATCGTCCTTTTTTGGCGCCTCTCCGTGCAGCTTCTCTACCCGTATGGATACATGGACTGTTCGCTGCAGGATGCCCTGGCCAACGACAACCTAATATGGAGCATGGGAGATCGGATGGAGGTGCAGCTGTTGAAGCTGATGCGCAAATCTTTTCGGACCACGACCATGCTCGTGCTGATGATGGAGTTGATGGCCATGCTGGAAGCAGCCCTGAATTTTCCACTGGACCTGGCCGCCAGAATTTAGTCCCGGGATTGAACTCTGTCCCTGGGAAGTGTTCTCACACCGTTTCATTTATCGTCCCATCAAAACAACAGTGCTCAAATAATTTCAACTTGGGGTAGGACTGTTATTGTGCCAACGTTCGTCGTCGTCGTAGTTGTCGTCGCTGCCCATTTAATCAGTACATTTTATTTTTAAAAATGCTATTAAACAATATTTGCCTTAGCAAAAGTCAGACGCGTTCGCAGTGCAATAAACTTTTCAGCACTTGAGCCGCTCGACTGACTGACTGATTGACCGAACGACGGACGTTGGGATTTTTTCTTTGTTTTAACTTTAACTCTGCGCGAACTCGTGATTATTTCGATTTCGTGGAAGTGCGTTCCACGCGAAGGTTTCGATTGGAATTTCATGTGTGCCATATGGGTTATATTCGTTCTGATTGCAGTTCAATTGGCTCGACTAAAATGCTCCTTTTGATAGCTTAAGCCCTCTTAAAACGGAAGATTTTATGGTTTTGTTCTGCGATTTGATTACAAAACTTATTACTTTGGGTGCCACATAATAATATATTCTTCTTCTTAAGAAATATTAGAAGTGATAAAACCTGTAAGGGTTTTTAAAGGAATTACTCAATTTTTATTTTAATTATTTATTGTAATTTTTTTTATTGTATCTTTTTATTTTTATTTTTAAAGGTTTTTATTAAACCTTGTCCGCCAGTATAATAAAAGCTTATACATTTTTATCTACAATCGTACATAAGTCGCCTCTATAATGAGTTTTTTATTTTTTAACAAAATGTTTGTACACTTAAGCCTTACTGAAGCTAGACAAATTTTTTTGCTTTTGTTTTAGTTTTTGGTAAGCGTTCCATTAAGGTCTTAAAATTTTATAGTCTCAGTTTAAAATATATCAATTTCTTGTAGCGCCTTTAATCGTCGACACAGCCCCACCATTTATAAATGCCCATTCCATATATATGTACATTCACGATCCTATAAGCGAATTTCCCGCAGTATAGTCCGCGAGCGGGTTCAACGCTTTTATGTTATTTGCCAAATGAAAAAGTAAAAAACAAATGTTTATCTTACAATACACTGGGTGGCAGTTCAGTGGAGTTCTGGCGACACGCACACATGGTGCGTAGATAGGCTTTGCTTTTGGGCTTTACTTTTTCATTTTATGATCGCTTCGCTTTTTTTCCCCTTTTTTCGTTGGCAAACTTTGTTATCGTCAAAAAAAAGAAACTCCCGTCGGAATATGATCGTCTGTGTGTCAGTTTTAGGTCGCGAAACTATTTGCAGCTAGAAATTGCCACTGCACGGTGACTAAGATAAAAAGAGAGGGGCTGATGCGTCCAGAAAGAGAGGGCGAGATCGCCGGGGAGTTCAAGCGCCTCGCTCAAGGCAGCTCTGCTGTCTGCAGCTTATCAGGGCAACTGGAACCACAACCACTCGGAGCGGCAAGTACGAAAAAGTGCTAATTGTAAACCCTATCCCCTCCTTTTTCGAGGCGTTTTCGTTACTCGAAAATTGTAATTCATGCGTGCCCAAGCAGACGCCAAAGTTTCAACAGAACTCAGTCAATCATAACCGACAAAAAAGTGCCCAAGAACACTCCTCTTTGGTCAGGGAGTCAGTAGTAGTAGTAGTAGTAGTAGTAGTAGTAGTAGTAGTAGTGGAAGTGGCATTAGTTGTCTGCACCTTCGGTTTGGGGAGTGTTTGTGTTTGCCCTCTGTCCAAGGGGCAGCTGGAGATCGAGATCCCTCTCCAAGTGCGTGCCACTCCGCATGCAACGCTGAGTAGTGGCCTCCAGTAGCCGATTCGCAGTCAGATCCATGTCCATGCTTAGAAGCAGAGCAATCAACACCCGCCTCAATAGAAGTACAGGGAACGCTCGTGAATGTGCCTCAAAATGCATGACGGAAAAGGTAGCGGTTCAGGATAATTTTATATCATTTGAAATAAATTACCTGTTTGTGGAATTAATTGTGCGTTTTTTAATTGCTCTGGTGAAATTAACTTAAGCTAACTTTACTCTAACATTTACACCTTCAGGTAAAAATTAACCTGGCACAAGCTTAAGTGCGTCTTAAAAATAAATTACAAACAGTATTAAAGTATAAACATTAATTCAACACTTAATAGTAAAGTACCTGTACTTTTTTGTTTAATTTCTGTAAGTCTGTAGTCTAAAACTACTTGAGTTTTATTTTGATACTTTCGTAATATAAAAAGGAATTAATTGTTTAGGAAATACATAACTAATATTCAAATTATTTTTATTAAAAATAAAAGTTTAAGTGAAATACACAAACAAATTTAATTGTTATAATTTTTATCTCCTCTTATCTCACCGATGGCTTACATTAAATTTTTTAAAATAAGGCTTTTCATATAACGACCTTTCACTGTACTAGGCCTTTTTTGTGAGTTGTTTGCGAAATCATCATAGCTTGGCCCATTCCCCCTGCACTCCCTTTTCCTGACCTACCTTGGCGCCTGGCCTGGCCAACACATGTTCGCATGCAGTTCAGTATCTGTGTGCCCACAGCCTATTTGCTTTTGGGCGTACATTGAACCACAAAGGCCCTGAGCTCGGCGCCACCCCCAACTAATCATCACTTTGTTGCTGCGTTAATGACTCGCCTTGGATTTGCCAGTGTCAACTCCCTTTGGAGCTTACCATTTAAGTGGAATGCACCAAAAAATGAAAAAAAAACAAAATAAATAATAAAGTACACACAGGGAAAAGGAAGTCGTGCTGGAGAGCGTGTTCCCAAAACGTTTTGGCATCCCAAATGGATGTCGGTGCTCCTCCCCTATCACTCAAAGTGCCATAAAAATTATGCATGAATGTATTTGCTTCATTTCTGCACTTTTTTTTTCCCATTTTGGCCAAATATAAAAAGTGCCGCACACCCCCCAAAAAAAGTAAAAACCAAAAAAAAAAAAAAAAATATATAAAAAAGGAGGAACGAAAATGAAACGAATGCAGGAGCGTCGCATTTTTACGGCTCCATTCATGTGACGACGGAAGTGTCAAGTGGCTGTTGGCAACTCGTCGTCGACGGGAAAAACTTCCCAACCTCCCCCCCCCAAAAAAAAAAAAAAAACAAAACGGGACCACCCACCCACTTTTCCTGGGCGTCCTTTTCGTCAACGTCGCCTCTGTGCATCGAAAATGCCGTTATTGTTGCCAGTTGTCTACATGCTCTATGCTCCCATGTACATCACATCACATCAGATCCCCCTTGGTGCCCCGTTTTGACTTTTTTGTGCCCCCGCGAAACCCTTCTAACCATGTCTACTACGTGTGCCCAAGTTGCATTTTCGCTCTCTTTCACACCCTCTATCCCCGTCTCATTCCCCAGCACCACTGACGTCTGTCGTCGAGTGGGCAAACTTTTTAGCGTATGCATGTGTATGTTTCGTTTTTCACCATTTCTTTTTTTTTTCTCACATTTTTCTCCATTTTTACCATTTTTTTGTGTGTACTTTGCTTCATTTTTCTATGCCCTTCATTTAGCTGGCTTTGTTCTTTTTGGGGTACAGTTGTGCTCGTAGGGTTAAGTAGCCTCTGCCCCGGACGAATAAGTAGCTGCAGATGCCAGTTCCTAAAGTTGACGTCTGCACTTTTTGGAACAGGCTGTGGAAGGGTTCTTAAGACAGAAGTCTAAGGGTTCGGATGTAAGAAAAATATTTGGATTGCTTAAATGGAAGAAAGCAATGCATCGATGGTGAAACCATCAATAGAAATTGAGTTTAGACCACCCAAAAACTTAATGAACTACCAAGGCTCAAAGTAATCCTTAGAATTTTTGGTTTAAGATTAAAAAAAATTTATGATAATATTAAAACTTGAGCTATACCAATTTTCAAATAGATATTTAGTCCTACTGGCTATAATTATAAGTTTAATAAAAATGTTTATAAAAATGTATTGTATATTCAAAATATTTATTTATTGTTAGATTATTAGACTTCCAAATTAAAACAAATGAAAATTCATATCTATCCTATACAAAATGACCGCCAACCAAGTATGGCAGCACTTTATCTTTTGGGTGGTATATTTTCAAATCAATTTTTTGAAATAATAATTTGGTTTTTTGGAACTATATTCCTCATATCTTGTTTAAAGCTTATTCTTGGAAAATCGAGCATAAAGATTTCTGAGTTTTTCAATTCCAACTTCACAGCAGCGCAGAAGTCTTATCGCAAATAAACTTTTCACAATTATTGGTTTAATTCCATTACGCACAACTAAGTAAGTAAGTGTAATTCCTGAAAATAAACTCAACGGGCATGCCAGGAAAACTTCACAGAGAGTCACTGCAATTAATGACATTTAACCGTCAACCCCTGACCCGTCGCCTAGGAACAAAACTCCATGTTTTGGCACCCACTCCTGCTGAAAATGCCATGACAGCTGTCTAATTTGTCGCCGTAATTTGCGTTGACAAGTTGATTGTCCCGCTCATGCCAGGCACTCCTAATTGCAGTTAGCCACTTACATAACCAGCAACGATAGACCCGATTACATGATTACACTGCTGTCCGCAGAGTCCGGGCCAAAATCCACGAGACCCCGACAGTCTGGTCCATGGGGCATCCGCTTTCGCTTTCGCTTTCGATGTCCGACGCCCGATGCTTTCTGGCCTAGCGCATCCTCGGCGACTCGTTGGCCATTTGCATTGCACTGCCTCTGTTGGTCTAATGAAATTCTGTTGCCACTTTTCGACCTTCACTGGGGCTTGCTGCCACCTCCCCCCACCTGCTGCTGCTGCTGCTGCTGCGGCTGCTCTTCCACTGCACTTTTTGGCCAAACAAAACGCCCAAAACGGCGTCCACTCGTGACCATGGCCATGACCATGCTGTCTGGCCCCGGTTGCCGTTGCCATTGCCTTCTCTTGCCTGTTATTTTTGGCATCACCAGCAACAGCATCAGCATGGAAACGAAACGAAACGTGCTGCCTGCCCAACTGCATTTCCCGGCTCTGGCCGCGTGCCACCAGTTGCCTGTTGCCTGCTGGCGGTACACTGCGCCAAACGTGTTGCTAGTGTCATTTTGGGCAACCAGTTTTGTAAAAGTTAAATTTGTTGACTT